TCCCTACAAAATTTCAAAGCCTTGCTGCAAAGAGTGGAGATGTTAGAGCTTCTCTGAAAGAAGAATTAAAAAAAAAAAAAAAGTCATCTAGATCTGCTGCAGGTGAATGTGAGAAAATCTAAGAGTTTTGCTTTGGTCAGTAAAGCAGAGATTTTCAGAATTATTTCCAGGCTTTTTAACACTTAACACAGGATCAAGGACAAACAGGGGCTCACTACTCCTGCCTATTCCAATTTGTGTTATTTGTTCTATTTTTTTATCACTTAACTTGACCTGCATCCAGCCCTCTCAGTGTCTTAGCTTTGTGAACATTATCAATATGCTCTTTGGGAACTGACACTTGAGATGCTCCTTCCATAAATTAATCAATTTGCATATTCAAAATTCCCCATGTACATATGTGCATATACAGACATGAACATGTATATAAAAATATACATACACATTAAATGTATATGCATAAGTATATATGTATTAACACCAATAGCAGTTCTATAAACTTTCTTTTCCTGAAAATAAAACATTGAGCTGTAAAATTCTGAATACTTAGTTTGTAAATAATTCTGCAATTTGTGTTTAGCACAAAGGAATGTACCAAAAATTCCTTATATTAATCAATTTGACATTTTTACAAACACGGCAAGAAATAGGCACTTTCTTCTGTGTGTGACACTTTGCAAAGTTTAATCCATAAAACTTGGCAGCTGCACTTCCCTCTCTCATGTTTTGTGGCTGAGAAAGCTCCTGTGAGGAATGGGAAATGGATGACACTGCATGTCTGCAGTGTTCACTGTTGGATATAAAGTCAGCCCTTGTGGTTCATCTTCAAAGCAGTGGAGACAGTAGGATGGGTTAAGGGAGAAGCTGAGCTCTGCAGGTGGCAAGCTCATTAGCCTCTGGTTGCCAAGGCTCTTGGGAGGACAGACGAGAAGGAGTGTGGTGATGCTCTTGGGGGTGAGACCAAGGATTTCTACATTACATTCTGTCGAGGTGCCTCAAGAGCTCTTCTTTGAGGAATTTGACTTTACACACAGTTCAGAAATAATGCCTGGCTTGTCCTTTTTGTTACTTCAGTAACTTTAAAGGGCCTATGCATGCTCTTTGCTAGTAAGGAGAGTTTCTCTACGTGCAGAATTCTGTAGCCATATGACAAGCAGGGCCTGTATTTATATGTCTTGCTAGCAGGCCTACATCAGTTAGGAATTTAAAGAAACACACAACCCAAGCCCTAAAAAGACGTGTACAAACAAAAAGTGTCTTGTAGACAAAGGTTACAGAATCACAGAATCATTACAGTTGGAAAAGACCTCTAAGATGACCAAGTCCAACTGTCCACCCAGAAGGAAAAAAGAAAAGAAAAACACAATAAAACAAACACACAACAAACCCCCCATCAAACAAACAACAAGAGAACAACAACTACCATGCCCACTAGAGCAAATCCTGCAGTGCCATGTCTACACCTTTTTTAAATATCTCTCAGGACAGTGATTCAACCATCTTCCTGGGCAGCCTGTTCCAGTGCCTAACTACTCTTTGGTAATGAAATTCTTCCTAATATCTAGCCTAAACCTCCCCTGACACAACCTGAGGCCATTTCCTCTTGTCCTATTCTTATTCACTTGGGAGAAGAGTCCAACAACCACCTCAGTGCAACCTCCTTTTCAGGTAATTGTAGAGAGCAATGACATCTCCCCTCAGCCTGCTTTGCTCCATACTAAACAATCCCAGTTTCCTCAGCTTCTCCTGATAGTACTTGTTCTCTAGACCCCTTCACCAGCTTGGTTGCTCTTCTCTGGACTTGCTCCAGCAACTCTGTGTCCTTCTTGTAGCAAAGGGCCCAGAACTGAACACAGTACTTGAGCTGCAGCCTCACTAAAGCAGAGTACAGGAGGACAATCATCTCCCTACTCCTGGTGGCCACAGTATTCCTTCCTGATGCAGGGGCCAGGATGCTGTTGGCCTGCCTTCTTGGCCACCTGGGCACACTACTGGCTTATGTTTAGCTGGCTCTCCACCAGAAGCATCCCTAAGTCCTTTTTGTGCTGGGCAGCTTTCCAGTCACTCTTCCCCAAGCCTGTATGTTGCCTGGGGTTGTGACTGAAGTGGAGGACCAAGCACTTGGTCTTTTGAACCCCATACACTTGGCCTTGATCCATTGATCTAACTTTTCCAGGTCCCTCTACAGAGCCTTCTTACCCTCAAGCAGGTCAACAATCCTCCCGAATTTGGTGTCATCTGCAAGCTTGCTAAGGCAGAACTCAATCCCTTCATCTAGATAATTGTTAAAGATACTGAGGAAGACTGGGCCCAAAACTGAGCCCTGAGGAACACTACTTGTTACCAGCCACCAACTGGATTTCACTCCATTCACTACAACTCTCTGGGCCTGGCCATCCAGCCAGATTTTACACAGTGAAGAGTATATTTGTCTATTCCATGATCCATCAGCTTCTTTCAGAGAATGATGTGGGAGATGGTGTCAAACGCCTTACTAAAGTCCAGATAGACAATGACCACAGCCTTTCCCTCATTCACCTGGGTCACCTGGTCATAGAAGGAAATCAGGTTGGTCAAGCATGACCTGCCTTTCCTGAAGCCATACTAGCTGGGGCCTGATGCCCTGGCTGCCCTGCATTTGCCATGTAAGTGCACTCAATGTATCTATGAAAACATTACTTAGCCTTGCATAATTACTCCAGCGTATTATCTAATTTCACTAGAATTTCTCTAAGATAGGGAAATGCCATATTGGCATCCAGTGGTACTGTTCCAACCAACATTTGAATGCTTCTGTGTTCATCTCCACTAGAATATATCAATATCAGCAAGATTTCTTGGGTGCATAGAATTAAACATCATTTAGGAAAAAAAGCAGAGCTCTACCGTATAGCTCCTTAGTGAGGAAACTCTTCTGCTTGTGAAAAGAGCCACTATCATAATTAAACTCTTCATATCCATATCTCCTATTTAGAGAGAAACCTTCATGTCACCTTCACAACGTAGAGGTTACCACCCAACTTTAATTGTGCTGGTGGAGGGGGATCAGGAGCAGCACTTTGGGATGCACACGTCATGGCTAGTGCTGTCTTGCCCAGCTGTAGGGGTGACTTTGGGCCCGACGCTGGGAACGGGACTGGTCTCGCACCCGTATGGGCCCAGGAGGGCTGGAGCGGCTGCTGCCCTCAAGTGCTGGAGAGCTGCAGGAGGACCCAGATGCCACCTGATTTGGAGTGTTGGCACCGCTGATCTTCGAGGTGACACTGGAGGCTGTAAGAGGACATAAGGAGGAGGTCAAGGTCACAGCCCCTCAGGCCCAGAGCTAGGACCCCAGCACTCATGGAGCAGAGACGCTCTGCCAAGCCCACCCTGGGCTCCCACCCAGGAGACGCTTGGGTGCTTTGCCTTTTACCAATGCCCAGGTCAGCACAGCAATCACACTCCCAGCTGGTTGAGCTTTTCCTCAGGTGGGAGCAGCCTCTGTGAGTGCCCTCAGCAGCACAGGAGCAGCACAGGAGCAGTTGCCAGAGCCTGAGGAAGAAAAAGGTTGGTGGTTGCATGGACAAAGTGACTGCAGCATAGGATTGTCTGGCAGAGCTCCTATTCTCAGTCCTTCTGCTTTGAGCTTTTGGTGAGACAGAGATGCCATGAGCCCTGGGGTGCAGCTTTGGCAACTTACCCCTCTTCCTCCACCTGCTCCCTGCCTCCTGGACAAAGGCACTCCCTAGCATCACAGCGCCTGTGCCTCACATATAACTCTTGATAGGCACCACAATCTTCCCATGATGGTCCTCTTTTAGTGAAGGAAAGGAAAATTGATGAGCCCCTGCTGCTCCAGCTTGAGGCAGATACAGAGCATCCCTGCTCCTCCCCCACTATCCTGTTTCCAAGTCCTCAGTCAAACTGAAGCCCAGACTCAGGGGAGAGGGGAGGTCCAGGACTCCTGGGACAACCCCTGGCACAGCACAGTGATTGTACCCTCCTGACTTGTAAGATGGGAAGAAAAAAACCCAACCTCCTGGGGATTTGAATTCCCATGGTGAGCATTTCCATTGAAAAATGATACTGATTTTGACAATGTAGGCAGCAGAAACCATAGCAGCCGGCATGGATTGCCTGTTTCTGGATGCAGTCCCTGTGGAACCAGGCATGCTTGCATGCTGGGCACACCATGGTTCTGTAGGACTTTCTGTCTTCTACCAGGTCCAGGCAGATGAGGCACGTGGTGTTCTTCTCTGGAGCCACCTCCGCTGCCTGCTCTGGGCTGTGCTCCCAGCAGAAGGACCTGGGGGAGAGAGGAAAGGGTTGCGTGAGATGAGAAGTCCTGAGTCCTTCCCAGGTGATAGGGAGCAGGAAGAGGAGGTGTGAAAGAGACCCAGACCCAGGGCGCTGGCTCTGCCTGTGACCAACTGCTAGGAAGCATCACTACATGTTCCTTTCTTTTTTTGGCTGATGCTGGACAGAAGGGGACCGAATACTGTGAGCTTCACCTGTGAGGGTCAGCTGCCCTTACCTGTAGAGTCCAAAGAACTGGGTCACACATTCACCCTCCTCAGCACAAGGGAGATGGAAGCTGCGGTCACAACCCATCTCACAGCAGGTGATGGTGGCCCCACTCTTGCCGCAGACAAAGCAGTGCTGGAAAGAGCACAGCAGCACCCACTGTCAGCAGCCCCAGGGCCTCCACAGCCAGTCCCACACCTCCACACAGGGTGCAAGATGTGGCCATTGCTGGGTCACACTGTGCAGGTCTGCCTGACAGAGGAGGGCTCTTGTGCTGGAGCCTCTATGAAGGTGCTGGGAACAAGACTTCTGTCCCAGAGCTGGTTGGAGAGGTGATATTCTATAAACATCTGAGGCAATATTCTATAAACCTCTGAGAGAAGTCTCTCGGTCACTTGTCCTCATCAGAAGATTATGGAGCAGATCATCCTGAGTGCCATTATGCAGCGTGTGTAGAATAAGCAGATAATAAGGCCCAGTCATCATGGATTCATGAAAAACAGTTTCTGCTTCTAAAACCTGATTTCCTTCTATGACAAGGTGACCCACTTGGTGAATGAGGGAAAAGTTATAGATGTTGTTTACCTGGAGTTCAGTAAAGCTTTCCAGACTCTTTCTCACAGCATTCTCCTAGAGAAACTGGCCACATATAGCCTAGACTGGTGTACTCTTTGCTGGGTATAAAACTGGCTGGATGGTGGGGCTCCAAGGGTTGTAGTGAATGGAGTTAAATACAGCTGGAAACCCATCATGAGCGGTGTTACCCAGAGCTCAGTGTTGGGGCCAGGTCTGTTTAGTATCTTTATCAATTATCTGGACAATGGGGTCGAGTGGACCCTCAGTATGTTTGTAGATGATACTAAGTTGGGAGGGAATGTTGATCTGCCTGAGGGTAGGAAGGCTCTGTAGAGGAACCTGGACAGGTTGAATCAATGCACTGAGGCCAGGTGTATGAGGCCAAGTTCAACAAGGCCAAGTGTCAGGTCCTGCACTTGGGTCACAAGAACCCCACATGATGATACAGGCTTGGGGAACAGTGGCTGGAAAACTGCCAAGAGGAAAAGAACCTATGGATGTTGATTGATAGCTGGCTGAATATGAGCCAGTGTATGCCCAGGTAGCTTAGAAGGCCATCCTGACATTTATCAGAAATAGTGTGGCCAGCAGGACTAGGGAAGAGACTATTCCCCCCTGTACTCAGCACTAGTGAGGCTTCACATCAAGTACTGCGTTCAGTTCTGGGCTCCTCACTTTAACAAAAACATCAAGGTGCTGGAGTGAGTCCAGAGAAGTGCAACATAGCTGGTGAAAGGTCTGGAGATAAAATCTTATGAGGAGCGTTTAAGGAACCAAGGTCATTCGGTCTAGAGAAAAGAAGGCTGAGGGGAGACCTTATTGTTCTCTACAACTACCTGAAAGGAGGCTGCAGCGCGATGGGGGATGGTCTCTTCTCCCAAGTGACACGCAATAGGAAAAGATGACCTCAAGGTGTTACAGGGAAGGTTTAGATTAGGTATTAGAAGATAATTCTTCACTGTAAGGGTTATTAAATGCTGGAATAGGCTGCCCAGGGCGATGGTTGAATCACCATTCCTGAAGGTCTTTAAAATACATGTAGTTGTGGGGTTTACAAATATGGTATAACACTAGACTCAGTAGAGTTAGGTTAATGGTTGGACTTGACAGTCTTAAACGTCTTTTCCAACTAGAATGATTCTGTGATTCTGTGGCTGGGATTTCTTTCCTGGGGTCTGGGCTAAGTTCCCACAAACCTCTCCTGGCACAAATCTTCCTGTTTTTGTCAGGTCCTCACCTTCTGTGCTGCTTGCTTGATTGCATGTCTAATATCCTCAAGGCGAACCCCATCGTTATGCCGTTGCTGAAAAATCCCATTGCCAAAATACTGCAGAGGAGAAAAAACAAGAGGTTGATGAGGACAGCATGGCAGGGACTGCCTGTCAGAAAGCTGGAGATAGTCCTAGGGTAACTCACCAGGCAAAAGGAATGTGCACAGATCCCACCATTCTGCAGTTTGGGCCCACAGATTTCTGGGTCAGCCCCTGCCCGGTGACACAACATGCATTCTGGAGAGGAGAAAGCAAATGCCACCAGAAATGAGAAGCTCTGTGGGCCTGGGGGAAGACTCCCCTAGGGATTGTCCTCTGTCCCTGCCCAGCTGGATGAAGGATTTGGCTGGAGGCCTTGGAGAAGAGGGGCCACTGCAGACAGAGGGGTCCTGGCAGGCGCCCCTTGCCCAGCCTGGGCCCTGCTGGCTGACTAAAAGAAGGGGCCCTGCCCCAGGGCATTTGGGGCACTCTGGCCTTCCCCTCCACTGCTCTCAGCCCCATGCTGAATGCCCCAACAGCCTCTCTGCTGGGCTATAGGAAGGACACTTTGTTCTCACCTTGCTCCATGCTAGCAGACACAGTGCACGTCACTCGTGAACATTCGGAGAGTTTCCATTGCAGCAGTGCTGGAGCATCTCCGGTGGTGACACTCCAGGGAGGCGACACTGAGGGAGAAGTGACATGTGGGTTTGCTTCTAGCACCAGCCCAGAGCCCCAAGGTGTGAGGTTCCCCTCCTCCCTTGGCAGCCCCTATCCCTCCCCTGTGCTCTCCCCACCTCACATCACTTTGACATGGGCCTGAGCCCAGTGTCCCTTTGTTAGTGGCTTGGCTCTCTTCATCGCAATGGCCACTATGAAGTCAGCGCTCATGCACCCCTGGCACACGCAGGGACCTCAACCACCTGCCACCCACAGTGACACAGCCACCACCTCATAGGGGTGGGTGTGAAGGAAAGAGGTGGGGGCTCAAAACCTTGGCACCTGTGTAACCCACATAGGGGTAGATGCTCCTGCAGCAAGTGCCAAGTCAAATGCCAGGTCTCCCCAGGGCAGCTGTCAAGGGTGGCACTGCTTGCTGAAAGCTGCTGCAGGGCTCCAGCCCTGACTCGGGGCAACCTCTGCTCCTGCCTCAGCATGGGGAGCACTGCCCACATGGCAGGAAGGTGATCTTTCCTCTCTGTGCCACACCAGGAAGGTGGCATCAGCAGGACTGCCTCCAGTTCTGGGCTCCCCAGTACAGGGGATGGAAGTGACCTTCAAGCTTAGCCTGAGCTCTCACATGCCATCCACTCAGACATGGTCAGTGGTTGGTGCCTTCTTCAGCTCCTGCTTCTAGAAAGTGTCCCCAGCCACCTTCCAATCCAAACTTTGGTGCTTAGGTTTTCCTTCCCACCAGGCTTTCTGCAATGCCACTCTGCCTTCTGATGTTATGGCATTAATGACCTCCATTAGCTGGATGCTGACAGAGGTGAATGGTGCCAGAGAACATGCTCCTCAGCTCCCAGTGTGGCTTTGCATGACCACTGTTCTTTGACCAACTCTGTTTGACCTTCATTGCTCAAGCCAGTGCCTCAGAGCCCTCAACACAGTCCCTCTGAAGAGCTCTAACTGTTGTGGACATGTCTCCACCTCATGCCTTCCCAGTCACAGCAGTCAAGAATAGAAGGACAGAGTGCTGCCACAAAGGCCTCTTTTAGACTCTTCTTTCCTTCCTCATTGTCTCTGTGTCAGGTGAAAAGCCCATAAGGTCTCCCAGATTCCCGTGCCTTCTTCAGAGAGGACAGCTGCTCCCTACTTTTGTAAATAAATGCACTTTTCTTGAGATATTCAAGTGTAAGGCAGCTGACAGGCACAGAGTTGGCTGGTGCTCTCTTCAGCCAGTAAAGTGGGGGAATTAATGAAAAAATGAAGAAATTATGCTGCTGATGAATAGAGTAATCCAAAATCAAAGAGATGCCATACAGACTGTCTAGCTGGAACTGAATATAGTAGTCTGTCTATATACAAATGACCTGCTGAGGTTTTCACAAGAGCCTTCTCAAGGTGAAATATATTGTATGATGATAACTTGACTGTCCAGCTGATGTCATTCAGAGCAATAACCCTTTCTCTAATAGGATATGGAAGGATAAAAAGCATGTTTGTGTTGATTATATTTGATTTACAGTCACAGAATAAAGATACAAATGATATGACTATTATTATTCATGCAATATCCTATATGGACATAACATTTAATAGGTCAACAAATAAATGTTGTTTTTTATAGAACTTGTTAATTGCAAATGTCCAGAACTTCAGAAATTCAATATTTCAACAGGAATGAGACATTTAAACTCCTCTGAACATCTGGTCTGAAATTAATGTAGGATGATGTTTTAATTAATATTTGAGTACCCATTAATTTGAAAATATTAAACCAGAAGTGTTAACAGAATAGTAAGGTGACCTCCTGTTATCGTATTAACTCATCACAGTGTGACCTGTTTTTAAAGGTATAATAATTACACCTTATAACTGAAAAAATATATCTAAAAATGAACTTGTTCTGCAAATGTACAAAGTTCTGTTTAGGTAGGTCGAATTACCTTCAGAAAATCTCTGTCTCTTTGCATTGACTTTGCAGAAAACCTAAGATTACTAAGCTCCCCCCTGGGTTAAATGGAGTGGCATTAATTAGGTGGGATAAATTGTGATCTAAAGACATCAGCTATCTTTGAAACTCTCCAGGAATCTTTATTCAGCTGCAGGAACCTAAATAGTTTATTCCAAAACCTAACAGCATGTCCCTTCAAAAATACAGGGTTTTCTATCAAAAGTATTTGCATCTGTTTTCCTTTATACCATTTCTCAATTTCATTGAGAATTTAATATTGAGGGCTGAACAAAGACTCTAGGAGATAATGCAAACAGTCCTGAAGGTACTAGGTGCAAGCCTATCAATTAATTTCACAGGTTCTGGTTAAACAGACAAAAGCATTATTAGCACCACCATAAACAAGTTATTACAATCAGATCCTTAGGATCAATGGATTTGAATCCAAATACAATCACAGTTATTATCCGCAGGATATATTTCAGGGTCCAGTTTAAGGAAAACAGCTGAATGTCAAGGAGAATCCCTTCCCGAATTTTTTAACTTTAGAATCATAGAATCATAGAATCATAGAATCTTAGGGGCTGGAAGGGACCTCGAGAGATCATCTAGTCCAACCCCCCTGCCAGAGCAGGGTCACCTAGAGCACATCACACAGGAACTCATCCAGGTGGGTTTTGAATGTCTCCAGTGAGGGAGACTCCACAACCTCCCTGGGCAGTCTGTTCCAGTGCTCTGTCACTCTTACAGTAAAAAAATTTTTTCGGATATTCACCTTGAACTTCCTATGCTCCAATTTACACCCATTACCCCTTGTCCTATCACTGGTCATCACTGAGAAAAGCCTAACTCCGTCCCCCTGACACTCACCCCTTACATATTTGTAAACATTGATGAGGTCACCCCTCAGTCTCCTTTTCTCCAAGCTAAAGAGACCCAGCTCCCTCAGCCTTTCCTCATAAGGGAGATGTTCCACTCCCCTAATCATCTTCGTAGCTCTGCGCTGGACTCTTTCGAGCAGTTCCCTGTCCTTTTTGAACTGAGGGGCCCAGAACTGGACACAATACTCCAGATGTGGCCTCACCAATGCAGAATAGAGGGGGAGGAGAACCTCTCTTGACCTACTAACCACACCCTTTCTAATGCACCCCAGGATGCCATTGGCCTTCTTGGCCACAAGGGCACATTGCTGGCTCATGGTCATCCTCCTGTCTACCAGGACCCCCAGGTCTCTTTCACCTACACTACTCTCCAGCAGTTCAGCCCCCAACCTGTACTGGGACATGGTGTTGTTCTTCCCCAAATGTAAAACTCTGCACTTCCCCTTGTTGAATTTCATCATGTTTCTCCCCGCCCAACTCTCCAACCTATCTAAGTCTCTCTGAATGGCAGCACAGCCTTCTGGTGTGTCAGCCACTCCTCCCAGCTTAGTGTCATCAGCAAACTTGCTGAGGGTACATTCTATACCCTCATCCAGGTCGTTGATGAAGATGTTGAACAACACCGGTCCCAGTACCGACCCCTGTGGGACTCCACTAGTCACACACCTCCAACCAGATTCTGCCCCATTGACTACAACTCTCTGACTCCTTCCTTTCAACCAGTTCCTAATCCACCTCACTTCCTGATCACCAAACCCATACCTGATCAACTTTTCTACAAGGATGCTGTGGGAGACGGTGTCAAATGCTTTACTGAAATCAAGATAAACCACATCTACCGCTCTACCATCATCTATCCACCTAGTAATTTCCTCATAGAAGGCTATGAGGTTAGTCAAACATGATTTACCCTTGATAAAACCATGTTGACTGCTCTTGATGACCCCCATGTCCTTGATGTGCCTGGAGATAGTGACAAGAACAAGTTGTTCCATCACCTTTCCAGGGATGGAGGTGAGGCTGACCGGTCTATAGTTACCCGGGTCCTCCTTCTTGCCCTTCTTGTAGACTGGAGTGACATTTGCTATCCTCCAGTCCTCAGGCACCTCACCTGTTGCCCATGATTTACTGAAGATGATGGAGAGTGGCCTAGCAATGACCTCCGCCAGCTCCCTCAGCACCCTTGGGTGCATTCCATCTGGACCCATTGATTTATGGATGTCCAGATTACTCAACTGATCCCTAACCCAATCCTCATCTACCATGTCAAACTCTTCCTCTATCTTGACTTCTTCTGGGGCTATATGAATCTGGGGCTCATAGGGAGACCCTGCAGGAGTGAAGACAGAGGCAAAGAAGGCATTCAGCACCTCTGCCTTCTTTATATCCTCTGTCACCAGGGCTCCCACCTCATTCCTCAATGGGCCAATATTGCCTCTACTGCTAGTTTTGCTAGCTATGTATTTGAAAAAGCCCTTTCTATTATCCTTAACCTGACTTGCAAGGTTAAGTTCCAAGGAGGCCTTAGCTTTCCTAATTGCCTCCCTACATCCTCTGACAACAGTCCTATATTCCTCCC